GAGCCCGATGCGGGGCTCGAACTCACGGACCGCGAGATCGCGACCTGGCTGAAGTCGGACGCCTAACCGACTGCGCCACCCAGGCGCCCCAGCATTTCACTTTTTTTAAGTGTAATTGTCTGCAGCTTTCAGAATGAATACACCAATAAATCATATTGATTCTCTAAGAGAACAGGTTCCCGACACAGGAGAAAGGACATCTGGAGACCTGCCAGATCCGCAGATCCCAGATCACATCTAAGCTAGGAAGTTCCCTGAAGACGTGCCTTCGGTTGCAGGGCTCTAGACTTGTCCAGTTCCAGTCTATTTCAGCACACACTCGACATCCTGCCAGAGCAAATGCAGATTGCAGATTTGGGCAAAAAAACAGAAAACAAAGAGCGCAATGAGCATTATTAGCACGGCCAGTTTAAAATGATGAGGTGTTAACCACATTTGTATAAATAACAGTTTCTCTAACCCCTGAATCATTATCCTGCATTTTCAATGCAATCGGTTCATAAACATCAAAGCGAGAACACCAGATTTGTATGGGGTCAGGACCAACTGGGGCTCTGAATGGAGAGACAGCTGAGAGCTGTGTCCTTACACGTGGGTGGCCTTGCAGCTGTCCATTCACCCTCAGGCTACTAGACAGTTGCCTTTTTGCGCTCGCAGAACCAGACTTCAATCTGAGGTAAAAATGTGTCCCCTCCCATGGAGTGGACATACACAGTGGCTTGACATCAGCCCTCAAAACACCAGCAAGGCAGCCAGACACAGCAGTCCCCTGAAATACTGTGTAGTCCCAAGCATAACGGCAGGGTTGTTTCTATATAATATTTGTCTTTGGACAAGAACACTGGGCTCTCTTAAATGTATTATTAATATAAAAGCTGATAGTTCACAAGATTCCAGGTCATATTATCTTTCTCTACAAGCACTAGTAATAACTAGATCATGTGACACACAAGGGCCATGTTTTGGTTCTCCCAAGTACACTTACTGATAGGTGAAATTACATGTCACTAGCATATAAATCAGGCATTGGGATACACTTGCTCATATAATGAGGATTGGGATAATGTATTCACAATGCCTATCTAGCACAGTGCCTGCTGTGGAGTAGGGAGGGTCTCTCCTATGCATTTCGAGGGCCAGGTGCTGTGCATGTAGACTTGTCATTCGTTTCTGATCTATGTAATGGTAAATGTTTCTCTTCTAGATAGAGTCTCCTCTCCCCCCTCCCAACAAAAGTTTATAGTCTGCAGATAGTAGATACATATTGAGACCCAGTGATCCTTCTTCTAGAAACCCTACTCGGGAAAAAATCCTGATTATAAAAATGCTGTGTGAACAGTATTACAGCATTGTTGGGTTTTTTTTTAATAATTTTTTTAGGGTTTATTTATTTACTTTGACAGTGAGAGCGAGCGAGTGGGGGAGGAGCAGAGAGGGCCGGGGGAGAGAGAATCCCAAGCACACTCCCCACTGTTAGCACAAAGCCTCATATGCCCCATGTAGAGTCAAATTCACAAACTCAAGATCATGACCTGAGCCGAAACCAAGAGTGGGATGCTTAACTGACTGAGCCACCCACGTGCCCCCTGTAGCATTGTTTTAAATGGCAAGAAATTTTGGACAACCTATAGGTTCAGTGATAAGAGATCATTTACATCAATTTCGGTCCTTCCACATTTCTGCTCCCAGTTAGAATGATGGCTCTGAAGACCGGTGGAAACACATGTGTCAGTGGTACAGTCACTGAAAGGTAAAATGAAAAACATGGATAGGATCAGTTTTTTTAAATGCCAAAAATTCAGTAGATGAATATAAGAATACATTCTTTTGTAAAGATAATTTTGACAGTGTGAAAGACAAGTCTCACACTGAGTAAAAAGATTGTGACATTTAATGAGATATTAAAATAAAACCTATCTTTTTGCCTACTTACACTGTTCCAGAACTGAAACATTAAAATGCCGTCTTACCTAGGACCCTTGAAGGGTTGATAGGGAGAAGTGCAGAGACGACTGTAGCAAGAGTCCTGCTGGCTAGAATCCTGCTTTTTCTTTTAAAATTTTTTTTTTTTTTTTCCCAACGTTTATATTTATTTTTGGGACAGAGAGAGACAGAGCATGAACGGGGGAGGGGCAGAGAGAGAGGGAGACACAGAATCGGAAACAGGCTCCAGGCTCTGAGCCATCAGCCCAGAGCCTGACGCGGGGCTCGAACTCACGGAGCGCGAGATCGTGACCTGGCTGAAGTCGGACGCTTAACCGACTGCGCCACCCAGGCGCCCCCTGCTTTTTCTTTTAAATGTTAGTAGTTACCTGGCTTTGACCATCGAACATAAAAAATGTGAATCTTGTCTCTTCATGTGTCACTTTGTGTTTCTTGATTGATAAGAATTTATTTTGAAATAAGAATATTTCCTTGATTTATTAAAAATGTTGCTTCACACTCAACCATCTTATTTTGATAGTCCCATCCTTCATTCAAGTTTAGATTGGAACAGAACAAGTAATTACAACAACAAACATTTATACAGTAATTATTATGTGCCAGATGTGAGTACAGTGTCTTATAATGCCTTTAGATGCTGTTATTGTCCCCCAAAAAACAGTTGAGGGAACAGGCGAGGTCACAGCCAATACAGTCAAGTCCAAGCTTGAATCAACAGAGCTGCTATCCACAACAGTAATTCCTTACATTTTAGATGATGTTAGTGTCTCATAGACAGTGAGATTCTAGAAATCCAACTTTGCTCCGAAAAACTAAATGCACATGTTCTATTTTGCAGTCTCATTTACTTAGGACACCAACCTATGGCCTGAAACGGATAAATATCAAAAAGGCGAAAACCTTCCTGGAAGTGGCATTTTAGAGTTTAAGTAACACCTATCCTCTCAAGCTTCATTTTGGTAGCTGCTGTCAGCTTACAATGTACTATTGAAGGATTTATTTTAGGTCTTGAGTATGTCTGGTAATTGAAACGTTTTAATTATCTGGATCCTGCAAAATGCAACTGCCATCACTAGTGGGTTAGCATCGAGTAGTTCTGTCTATTAGAACATGACGGCTGCTCCTTTCATTCCCAAGATACAATATATGGCCCAGATGCTTCTGTTCATTCCTTAATGACATTCGATGATTCATAAAAATGTAAGTGCTGACATTTCTGCTATTACGAATTTAGATATTTAAATTATGTTTTAGGAATGAAGACTAGGCTTTAGCTTAGAATGATACCGACTGGGAGATAACTAGAATTAAGGAAGTTCCATTGTTACTGACCTGGGATCTTTTCTAAAAGTGTATATTTTCAAAATGTCAAATTGTAGCTTTCATTTTTTTGTGCAGTAGTTTTCGTTAGGTAGTGTTTCTCCTCTGGAAATGAAACAACAAATCAGTGGGAAATATTCTTGAGGAGAAACCGTTGATTGTTTTTATTAAAAGGTGTTACAGCAAAATGACAACTGTATGATTGTTTAATAAGCTGTGATGAAAATACTCAGAAAATTGAGCATGTTGGTTTTCTCCGAATAGTAAATTGTGAGAAATATCACTGCTCTCCTCTAGGTGGCATGATTTAAGCTATCATTGAATTAACTGATTGATAGAATTTTTTTTCCCCCTACAACCAGATGAGTGGCTAGTTTCTGAACAATGGATACAACTGTGGCATTGATTAGATTTAATTTTTACAACTCATCAAATAACTAGGTTGACTTTGTAATTGTCTGTTGTTTAATAACCTTAATTAACCTTAACAGATGATGATTTCTGAAAAAAGCAAAACCCAAAACCAAATCTGTACTGACCAGGCAACCAAAATCCTGTTTGTGTATTATGAAGTCTGTTTTTGGGTCATAACACACACCCATTTTCTAAATGTATTTCTTTCGTTTACGGTAAATAGCCTGCCATTGACAGAAACTGTAAGGATACTGCCTTTGTACTTAAAGGAGCATGTAGGTATAACTGAAATAATCTAAGGAGGAAGAAATTGTAGGAATTTCCATCGCAAAAATTTTCAAGTTAACAGGAAACAACACTTTTAATTAAGTGAAATTCTGGTTTTGTGAAGCTGTTAGTGTTTATTAAAACATGGGAGATCAACATGTAAAAAAGTATTAGGTGACCCATAAGCACCAGATAGCAAACAGAAACATTCTGTTCTTTTTTCCATACACTAAAATGAGAGGACAGAATTCATTTTTACTTTTCGAATTCGTTTATCGATTGTTATTTTTCCAAAATTTAAAAACCAATTTTTGGACAGGATACATGAAATGCTCATTAATCCCAATTATTAATATCTTCTTCCTTTCCATTGGGAGACTGGCTTTCATGGAGCTCAAAAGAATCTTGACCAAGCACCTCTTAGGGGCTTCAGTTTGGGGCGGTGCATGCGTATATAAATGTTAACGCTGTACAAGGAAGCATTTTCAAATTTAAGCTCTGATAGTGATTATTGGAATCTGAAGCATCGATAAAAACCAAGAGGCTTGGAAATGTGCAAAATATATCACTACTTCACCCAAGAACGGGTGAATGTCTGATATTACAGATTCAGATTTTAAAGTGGCTTCGTTTCAAAATAGGGTAACTATCTGGGACAATCCTCGTTTACCCTTTTTATTTTAATGTATTTATGAACAGCATCCTCTTTACTCTTGAAAGTGCTCAGGCTTGTGTGATGAATTGTATGGTCACCCCAGTTGTAGGAGCTTTCTTTTCTGAGACTTACACATCAGGGAAAGTTTGTAGTCTTGAGTCTCCGGTTTTACAGATTATTGCCACTCATATAATGTTGCTTTCTAAAGTATTTATTGAGTATACTTATATTCTGTTTTTTAAAATAATTATTCACTAGTTTTCCCTTCTAACATAAAAAGCTACACCCAGGTTTTCTTTTTATGTGCAATTACTATGCTCTGTTGACTTTTGTATCGTTTTCATTTTTTAGTTGCAGGATAATCGGGGCAACGGGAAGACAAGGTTGTTTGAGACAGGTTGGTAACTTCACTAATGAAAATGCACACGTTCAGAATTTCACACAGTGATACCCACTGAGATGATGACAAATTCATTTAGAAGATGACATATCTTGGGAAATAAAAATTCTACTTTACATTGTGATGCTCATGTTTTCTAAGTATGGGAACTTAATCGTGTCTTTATCATTTGCCTTTTCTTTTTCCCTACTCTTCTTTCATTTTTATTTGTGCCTTGTTGAAATACTTCTCTCTCTGCCTTTCTCCCCAGCAACCTACTCCTGGCTTCTTGCTTTGGGAAGTGTGTCTGGACTGCTGGGTGGTGGGTGAGGAAAGTCATAGACGCTCTGTAAGCTTCAGTAGCAAACACTGCCCTGACTGAGGAAAATCCCACGGCTAGCTTCTTTGTAACAACACTAGCATTTTATTAAGCAGGTGTCCATTTTATACTGTGTGCCAACTGTCCTCGTATGTCCATTTCTTTCTATCAGTCCCTAAATGCTATTTTAGTGGATGAACTTCACCAGAGGCAAACCAGATTTTAGTAGACCCTGGGTCTGACAAAGCCCAGGCCACTGAGAGACTGCCTCCGAAAGAAAGACTTCCTCCTGCTGGAACTCTCACAGAGCAGAAATGGAGTGATATGCAGAGATAGGAGTGTCCAAAAGCCAACACAGTAATCCATCAACTAATCATAATTCCAGAGGGTAAGACGAATGTTCCCACAGAGTATCATTAAAGGGTGTTTATCTCTGCTGTGCTGTTTTTGTCTTGTCCCTATCTCGTGAGTTTATCCCTTTATCTCTCACCACCTCTGATCTTCTCTTTAAGCCTTTCTCCCTGCCCGCTGTTCCCTCCTTTCTTTTTATCACTTTGTCTTAGATTAACCTGTAGCTACAAAATGGAGATAATAATTGGGGAAATCACTAACCTTTCCACTTCATTAGTCCAGAGCAGAAATTTGTTTACTTCTAGAAATGCAAACAGAACAGGACACGGCCAGTGTTTCTGAACTGCATCAAATATAAAATTAGAAGAACTAAAAAAGGCTTAATATTTTCACATTCAAGCGTTATTTGCATTTAGCATTTATCACTAGAGGAAAATGTAATCAATTACAGTAGTTCTATAGATTTCTTTTTTCTACCTCCTGAGTTTTAATAGTTGAAACCCTTGTGGGAAGTTTTCAAAGTTGTTGCAAATAAAGTTCTTCTTTCATTAGAGTCAGGAAGGACCTATGACATCATAAACTCTTGCCTAGGATCCAGAGGGTAAAGCCCTGGACAGAGATGAGTAGTTGTGATATCAAACATTTGTTTAGCATCTTGTCGGAGTTCTGCAGGCCTTTAGTGAATGGACCCATTAATGAGCAGAGAAGGGCTAGTGCTCGAAAGAGCTGCACCCTTTCCCCTCTGATCTGGGAAACAAAGAAGTCCATTTTAGGGTGGTAAATAATAAGAGACCTTAATCTTGAATTTCAACCTAACTGGACTTCAGTCATTTAGAGTTCTATTCACCCAAAGTATATTTTCTTGTCCTTTCTTCTTAGAATTAATGGGAGCAAAAAGCCATAATGTTTAAAACAACTGAATGGGAATGTACCTCCCCAAACTCCTCAGAGGCGTAACCATGAGGCAAAGTCTTATTAGCATCTACCCTGGCTTTTTCATTCTATTTATATCTGAGAAAGAGGAGAGGCCACATGTGTTTTGTTACACGTTCCCTGAAAAAATGAAGTGACAGGATATGAAAATGGTGGGTCATTTAATGAGCACATTTTAAGTGCCAGGTTTGCTGGAACTGTTTTGTGTACCTTGTGTATTTTAATCCTCAGTAGTCTTGTGGGTACCATGCATTATCCCCATTTCACAGACAAAGAAACTGACACAGTATCTGAGTAACTTGGCCAGGATCACAAAAACAAAAAGTGGCAGAAACTTGAACTCATGAAAACTTGACTCTGGAGCCTGCCTGTTTATGTAGGTTAAATACCATTTTGAGGTAATCAAGATGATCTATCTGGGTTAAACACCCTTTTACTGTGAAGACTGTCTAAAGTGCCTACCACATAATAAGATCTCAATAAATTTAGTGAATGTTTACTTCTTGAATATAGAGATGAAAAGGTTCCAAAAGAGTTATTTAATAGAAGAAAGGATCCACTTGTGGTGTTCAGGGAGGCATCTCTTACAGGGTTAACCTGTTACATCTTCAAAGGGTTTCTACCTGACAGGTAGAAAGGGACTCGTCTCCTGTATCAGGTGGCTCAAGTGGCCTCAAGTGGCTCTACTTGTCCATTCCACATTTCACCAACCCCTCCTCTGTCCTACCTTCCTGGGCTTTGGGGAAATTAGAAGTAGTTTATTATGAATAAGCAAGAGGTCCAAGGTGTTGTTAAGTTAGCAATAAGTGCTCAACAAACCAAGTATTATGGGCATAAGTGTGTCTGTTTTTGTTGGGAAGGGCTGTCAGAAGTACTTATGGCTTCCGTTGTTTTCCTAGAAGTAATGCAGGTGGACTTTTGCTAACCTAACCCACTCTAATCTGAGTTTACTCAACCTCTGGTGAGTTTGTGTCTACACCAAGGGGGTAGTCTCCCTGATTTGCGGGGAGGCTGACCCTATGTCCTCAGTGGAGTATCGTGAAGGAGGTAACCGGCCATACTCCAAGGCAACATCTGTAGTCCCGAGGTCCTGTTTGCAAGCCTTGCTCTACTTTCTAGAATTGCCTGAGGTATACGAATATTCACCTTTCCCCCTTCGTGTACAGGCAGACTGCAGTTCTCAAACTGAACTCAAGGGGAGAGCAACTTGAAACTGCGAGCCCCACAGCATCTCCTCTGGGTGACACTTTGCCTCGGCTATTGGAATGGCAGTTCATTGTCCAAGTCTTTTCGAGCTGCTTGGATTTGAAACTGGCCTCAAGGAAAGGAAACTGCTAATGCTGATTTATACATAATTTTCAGAAGTGGATTGGAACAGTCTCTTGATTTCAGAGTTTTCCGATGTGCCCTCATAGGTAAATAATTCCATGTTCAGAAGAGTTCAGAATATGCTAGATAAAAGAGCAGAACAGTTTTGGGTTTTTTTCCTGCAAGATTCTCCGAGCTTTTAACACGATGATGGGGATTGTGAATCTGCAAGAAGCAACGGGGACCCACGTATCTCCCAAACTTACTTCACTATGGAATCCACGTTTGTCAGACATAGCCGTGTGCCCAGGGCATCTTAGAAGTCCATAGTGGGTAAGGACACAGACAATGGATCCTGACTCTAAAATCCATTTCTACACTTACTATGCTCTTGAACCAGGTACTTAGTCTCTCTGCACCTCAGTCCTCTCATTTGCAAAATAATGATAATTGTAATACTTTCTAGGGTTCTTGTAAAGATTAAATGACCATATATATATCTCTACCCATCTGTCTCACATTACTAAGGGTAGTATGTGTCCGCTATAATTATGACTATTCAACCCTTTATTTACAAATGATACGGGCCCCATCCCCATGTAAACTCCTGAAGTTAAAGTTCCTTGTGACCTTTCTATCATAAAAGAAACATCTGAACAAAGGAATTAATGTAGAGGCTTTGAGTTTGGGGGAAAACAACAGTTTCCAGTTGAAATCATCTGCTAGGCAGTATGGCCACAGTCATGATGAAATGAAAATGCTGACTTTGAGTAACTGAATAAAATAAAATAAAATAAAATAAAATAAAATAAAATAAAAGACAAAGGGAAAAGTGAACAGTGGCAAGAATCATTCTTGGATTCATCTGAGACTAGAGTGAAACAGAAAATGTCAAGTTGTATGTAATGCCCAACAGCAGACATCAAACACTTTACAATTCCAGCTTCCTGGATGTATGCTATGGAAAGAATGAAGGTGGTTACTCATGTCTAGCTGGGGAAGAAGGTGAAGAGAGAGCCATAGCAAAAAGTGGTGTGGGCAGCCAATTAAGATACCCATTCATTCATTTCAAGAATGAAACAAGTAAATGGATTTCATTCTCTAGATAAAAAAGATGAAGATCTGTTTTCTGTTTTCAGCAATTCACTGTCAAATGGAGGACTAGACAGTAAACAGCAAACTGTAATAAGCTTCAGGATAAAGGTACTAGCAACAGTCTGGTGGAATCCCAGAAAATAATTCCACTAAAAAAGTAAGAGGTGAATCTTGGATTGGAAGCAGGTCTCAGGGTTGGGTGAATCCTGAATAAACTGATGCTCATTTGCAGAGACAGAGGGGGAGAGAGAGAGAGAGAGTGTGTGTGTGTGTGTACAATATAGGAGGAAAGACATTCTAGAGCAAGTGATTCGGTTTGGGAGGCTGTGAGTGAGCCATGCTGAGTAAAAACGGGAGGCTTGATAGCTTGTCCTTCAACAGACGCGTCCAAAATGACTATATAAAGTAAATACCATAAATCACTGTTGTCAGGGCGCACACTCCACCTCCTCCCTCCCTTCCCCACAGCCGTCCTCATTTCCACACCCCCTCAACGGTTCAGGGAGAGCTCGTGGTCTAAGTAAACGAGAGGACTTCTGACTGTAATCCTAGCACGTCACTTTGTTGAAGGCAAACACGTGGTTCAGGGAGAACTTATAAATCTCTCCTCCCAGGCAAGATCGTGATGTTATCTGCTGGCAGCAGAAGGTCCGCTCCGAGGGGAGCTCCAGAAGCTCCCGACGAGAAAGAGAGAGAGAGGCAGGCAGACAGGAGAGAGAAGCAGAGACCGAGAGAGAGAGGCAGAGAAAGGAACAGAAGAGCAGGAGCGCAAGTGACGGAGACACGGGGACAGGGATGGGGAACATAGTATAACGGTCTAGGGAGCCATTCGGGAACAAAGTGAGGAGCTGCCCGGCTGCAGAAAGGAAAAGGACAGGGTCTCTTTCAGGGTGCCAAGTGCCCACCTACCCGCAGCGAGAAAGTCCGAGTGGGAGAGAACCCAGGAGAGGGTGGGGAAGGGTGAGAGTCCAAGGGACCCCTCTCGCAGCCCCCTCAAGGAATAACGCTCCCTAGTCAGCGCGTCCCCGGGGCTGCAGGCGACGGCGGCAGCTGGTCGTCGGTGGCCGGGTTGGCGTCCGGAGCGAGCGGAGGAGGAGAAGCAGGAGAAGGAGGGCGCTGGAGGCTGGACGCGTCTGCAAGCGGCGGCACGACGTGGAGTAGCCGGGCGGGTCGGCGCGCGCCGGCCGGGGTGTCGGCCACCGCGCGCAGCTCCGGGAGCAGGATCGTCGCCGCCTCCGCCGCCGCCGCGGCCCGCGCAGGACCCGACCGAGTCCCGAGCGCCGTGCGGAGCGCACCCGCCTCCCCGCGGCGCGCCGGGCTCGCCCCCAGCGCGCGCACACGCGCGCGCGCACACACACTCGCTCACACACTCACACACTCACACACGTGTGCGCTCTCCGCTCCGGAGCCGCGGCTGCTCCTGCTCTCAGCGCCGCAGTGGAAGGCAGGGCCGAACCGCTCCTTCTTTAAATACCTAAATTACCGCCCGGCCAGCCTCGGCGGCCCCCCGCACAGCGCTCCCGGCGCCCCTCCCGCCAGCTCGCCAGCTGCCAGCCCCGGGACCTTTTCATCTCTTCCCTTTTGGCCGGAGGAGCCGAGTTCAGATCCGCCACTCCGCACCCGAAACTGACACACTGAACTCCGTTTCCTCCTCTTAAATTTATTCCTGCCTAATAGCCACTCGTCTCTCTCCCCCCCCCC